TATACGTTACTTTTCTCGTAACGATGACGACGTCGCATCGGCACGCCGATAATATYACTCACAATGCGCACGCCGTAATATTACGAGTAACTCAAAATATTGTTATACGTTAATTTTCGAGTAAACCATGACTACGTCGGACCGACGGCATAATTAAACTCAGCGCACACATCAACTTATTACGAGTAACTCGAAGTTAATATAAGTTACATTTCTCGTAACGACGACGACGTCGGACCGCCGACAATATTAATTTCAATGCGCACGCCGTTCTATTGTGAGTTATTAGAGCGCTTTCAGACGAGACACTTTGTAGCCGGCCACTAGAATCAGTGTCTGGTGGCTGACGGGGACAAAACAAGCCGATTCGGTGGCGCGACACACAGTCCGTGTCTGTGTCTCGTGTGTACGAGTATATTTATAGCAATGTTATCTTAGTCGCGCGATTCTTTTCAGACATAAGTAGCCGGCTACAAAGTGTCTCGACTGAAAGCGCTCTTAGAGTTTGATATATGTTACTTTTCTTATGACGACGACGACGTCAGRCCAACCACATAATTAATCTCAAAGCGCACATAGTACCACAGATTATATAAATTATCAGTATTATATAATCTGTGATAGTACCATAACGAGTTACTCGAACTCGTTATAAGTTACTTTTCGTGATAACCATGACGACGTCAGACCGATGACATAATTAATCTCAAAGCGCACGACRTAGGTACTTTTACGAGTTTACACGCTTAAAGTTATGAACAACAATTTCGTGTTACTCACAACAAAACGGCGTTAAAACATGGTTTGGATTGTCGGCGGTCCAACGTCGTCATCTTCACGCGAAAAGTAACGAACAACAAATTCGTGTTACTCACTGTTTGAACCTGAGCCGTTTTTCGCGCCCGTGACTAGCGCAGTGTGACCGTTTGACACCTATCTGGCCACCCCCCGCTGGCTGTCCGACGCCGAAGTGCTGTGCTTGCGCGAACTTTTGGCGACCGGCATCGCTGACCACCGGTTCTCCAGCGGTCCGGCCATCTTCAGGCCATCCTGT